CAGCAATGTGTCTTCCTGGTCGCAAGTCAGTCTTTTGAAGGTGTCACTTGCTTGTTGTCTGGCATTTAAAGGATCTGCGTGTGTTTTATTCTTTATGGCTTATCTGCTGGGCAAACAGCACTTAAATATTTGTCGTATTTGCCTGCAACAAGTAACAAGTGGCTGGCAAGCGGAAGTCCACAAGAAAGGATCCCAAGCAAACAGTGAATGCTGCTTCATGGCAAGCACAAATAAATATACACATTTTGGGCTGTCATAGAACATTGGCAGTAGCCAAGCAGCCAGCCGTTGCCACTTGTAGCATTCTCAGGTTGTGCTGTGCGCATTTATCATGGAATTGTTGCCACTAAAGTCCGGCAGCTAACTGCTGACCATCAATAAAACGAAGCGCTGTAAATAGAAATGCATTTGGCGATCCTTTAAAGTTGCCAGCTGCAAGCAGCAAACTGCAAGCAGCAAACTGGGGCCACATGCGTGGGGTGGCGCTTGGATTAATGAGCGCGCCACGATTAGAATCCATTTGAATTAATGAGCATTTGAAGCGACTTTGATTTTGTTTAGCTACAAACACAAACAGCAGGCAGTCAGCAGTCAGTAGTCGGCGGTTGGCGGTTGGCGAACAAACACAAACACAGCACAAGCAAAAACAAAAGACTTAGGCAACGAACTTGATTTGGAGATTTAACTTGCGTAGCTGGCTGCTGCGTATCTGCTGTCCGTCTATCTATCTGTCTGTCTGTCCTTCTGTCTGTCCTTCTGTCTATTTGGCTGGCATATTAATTTCACATGCCCCGGCTATAATGAAAACCGATTTTATATTACCCGGCCGCCTGCGGTCGTTTACAATCAAGTTAACTGCGCGCATAGCCATAAAAACTTGACTTATCAAATGGCCCAAATGCCCCACCGGAGCAGGACTGCGGTGGATCCCAAGTGCACCATCATCCGGGGGCAGGCAGTGTGACCATTAACAGAACGATGTCGCCGATCGTTGAGCGAGTGCGCGAGCAATGGCAATTTTCACTTGGTGTGGCTCAGATGGGGGAAAACTCCCAACAAATCGCCGTACGACTTTATTGGCCAGCTGCCCGCTGTGCGCTAATATACAACTATCGCTTATCGGCTTTTATTTGCATTATTTATGCAAAATAGTGAAATGTGCGTTTACAGCTGTCACACACACTCTCACACACACACACGCACAGGGAAATCCACATGATATGATATTAATATTTACTGGAAAATTGATAAAATAACAAAATTAAATACATCCATTTGTGGCATCAGAATTACGGGGAAAAAGCTGTCGTTGTCGAGCAGCAGATATATAACGATCGTTCATTGAATCTATATAGTTAAAGGTTTTTCACTATATAGTTAGTGATTTTATATGTCTGAACTGCTGGAAATCTTTGCTTTGCAACGCTCTTTTGCATCTTTAGTTTGTTGCCACAAAATTATTTCAGTATAATTAAGCATAAAATTAAAAAAACTGACCGATTGTTCCAATGCAAACTATATGATATATCAGTCCAATATTGATAATGTTTGGAGCATAAAAACAGGCGCAACTAATGAGTTTCCTCAGTAAAGAAAATAACTAATTATCGAAAGGACAAATTGATATACCATATCAACTTGGCTAGTGATGCTGATTAAGAATATATATATATACTCTATGGAGTCGTAGACGTATCCGTCACGACAAAATTGTGATATTTATGTATCTATAAAACCGATCTTTAATCGAGAAGTCAAATTTTGATTATATTTTATTTGAAACTCTGATTTTTTCCAAACTGACCAGATCGAATCATACGTGTTGCATAAAAAGAATAAAAATACTTGTGAGTATTTATTATTATTAGGGGGGAAGCTGCACCGCGACCTATTTGATCTATTATGCCCCCTTCTGAGCCTATAGCTCTTCCATCAGCCCTAACTCCCGTACGAATGTGAGGATCTTTGTTGGGTTGAGGTCTTCTATGTCTCTGCAATTCGAAACATGCGTCCCTAGGATGCTGCTTCTTCTTCTCGTTAAGGCGACACATTCTGCTAGGATGTGCATCGAGGATTCCTCCTCTCTTTCACAAAACCTGCACAGATCGCGACTATATACACCCAATTTAGTTAGGTGACTCCTTAGTCTACAGTGTCCTGTCAATAGACCGGTGAGTATCCTAAGGCTGTTCTTTCGCATGGTTATAATTTGTTTGAATCGTACAAGATTATAACCACCTAGGAGACATCTGGCTTGTCGGAGTCCTACTGCCTCTGACCAGCTCTGTTGCCGTCTCTGCCTCTCCTCGTTTCTAAGTTCCAGTCGTATAGAGTGTCTCCCTATGCCGCAATACGGTTCTGCTTGTGAGTATTTACAGAAATATATATTATATTGGTAGAATAAAACACATAAATATATGCATTGCGTACTTTCGTTTATTCTTAACTATTTCAGTTTGGAAATGGACAAATGGATTAAAGATCTCGCATATTTGTGGCTGTCGCACAGAGGCCAATGTGCGTGGCAGTCATTGGCATTGAAAACTATTCAAAATATGCTCGAATCTATCAGTGTGGCATCTTTTTGTTTTCGTTTCTCGTTTCGCTGGAAATCAAAAACAAAAAACAAAAAGCAAAAAAATAAAAAGACGAAGTGAGTAAAAAAAAAAAACGCGAGACGGCGATCGATCAACATGCAACGCGAGGAACGCTTAGATTTCAACACAATGGGACGTCAGAGGTTTCGATTTCAAAGCCGCAACACGCAGGCACGTACCCGGGCAGATATGGGGCGGGGGGATTACTGTGATGTTGATGTGCACCTTTGATAAGGATGTGGAATCGCCGCACATACAAACAACAACAAAAAAAAGGAGACAGACGGCGACGAATACCAAACAAAAATCAAATAAAAGCAAGCAACTTCGAGCGGAGAGTGGAGAGCAGAAAGGGCTAATCCTGATGAATCTACTCGGCTAGGAGTCCTCCCGCGTGTTTCCTGTTCCCCCTCTCCAAGACATAAATTGTTTTGATTTATGCATAATTTTTTTTTGTCATTTTGTAATTTAGATATATAAAATTGGGCTCCTACACCAATTGTGAAATTTAAAATGCAACACGTCTGATTTTGCGTTTGAGCTGTGTCCAAGGAGCTGCTGCTGCTGCTGCTGCTTCTGCTTCTGCTGCGGGCAGCTCCATCTCCTGACCAGATCTGTGCGCTTGGCAGTTGGACGGAACTGAACGGAGTGTCTGGTAGTGAATGCTGTCGAATGCTGTGTTGCTTCTGGAGCCAGGCCGTTTCCAGTTGGTCTTGTGATGGATTTTGCGCTTACTGCCGCTCGTCGTCTTCTTTTTGCGAGTCGACTTTCTGGATTGCCGGGGCAGTGGCTCGGATTGAGCCAGGTTGAACGCTTGACATGATCTGCACTCCTGTTCAGTGGACAACTTATGCACCTCAGTGGGGGCTGCGATTGCCAGATCCGCGTGCGATGGACTCAGATGCAGCAGCGATTGGAGTCCGTGAAAGCTTTTGTTGCGCCGACGCTTGCAGATCATCTTCCGCTGGATCTTCCTCTTGCGACTCGTTGGCCTCCGGCCGCGTGCCGTCCTTCTGCTCTCCAGCACCAGATGCGCCAGATCGGAGATGTCTGTCGGTGGGCAGCGCATATCGATGGGATTCAGCGCTAGTCGCATATACTTTTCCTTCTGCTCCTCGGGCAGCTCGTTCCATTTCCGCAGAGCCGTTTTGCGCAACTGCGATAATTGGCAGGCCGTCACCCGTACTCTGCCCGGCTCCTCCAACTTGGCCAGCAGCAGATCGTTCAGAAAGTTCTCCAGCGGTATGGCCAATGCAATGGACTCCAAGATGCGTTCCCGATCGCGATTGATTGCGCTCCGTGTGAATGTCACACGGCGCTTCTTCTTCGAATTGCCCAATGCGTAATCGCAGATTCGCATTACGAAATTTAGTATGACGCCCATTGTGGAAAATCAGAATTTTTTTCAAAATCTGTAATTATTGTTTTTGTTGACAGCGCAAAGAAAAGAAAACTAAAAATTTTTAAGTTTATTTTTGTATTATATTCTATTTGTATGATATTGTACTGTACTGTAAGTCTACGTGGAGTCTACTTAAAATAGTACTCGTCCCATTTGAGATTGTTTCAAAGGCTGCTCTGATCAAAATGAAGATGTTGAACGAAAAAAAGTGCTAAGCCCAAAATCAAACAAGGCGCTATTCAAATTGAGGCGGGATGAAAGTGTTAAGATGCCTTCCTGGAAATTGACACCAGTCGTAAACATAAGATAGAAGACACTTTGCTGATAACAACTAATGATTTAAGACGGCGATAAACGCTGCGGAGGCTGGCTGCAACAAGCAAGCGATGCATGCAACAATTGCGTGCTGCCAGCTGTGAATGGCCCCATAAAACCCATAAGGGCGCAAACAATATGCGCACAACAACAAAACAGCTCAGAACCGAACTCACACGCATACATGCATGGACTGAGGATGAGAGAATCATTACATGGTGTTTTATTGCCGATTGTGTGTGTGTGTGTTTACATTGGAAAGTGTGAACACACCGCACGTGAACTTTTCCCATTTGGTTTTACTTTCGTTGATGATGAAAAAGTTCTGGCAACCGTTTCGACGCGAGCGCGCTCACTGGTTCCACTGCCAACAAGTTGGCGCCTCGAAACGGTTAAGCTGCCTAAGGCTCACTCTGTTAACGCGGCTCATGTTAATGTTTAGTGAGAGAATGAATGAAATCTATATATAATTAGCAAAATATGGCTATTTAAATATGCATATATAGCAAATAATTTAAAATTTGTTGACATTTCAATATTTTGAAAATACAAGTCAAATTTTGAGTTCAAAGAGCTCTGTTAAGCCTAACATGGGGGGTTGCATTTGTACGTGTGGAACATGTTCGATGGCAACATGAAACGATCGCGTTCGTCGCTGCCGATTGTTTGGTTGCAACCGTTAGTCGGCAACCGCTTGCCAAGCTAAGCAGATGTGCAGACGGGTCGTGAGTTAATTTTTCGTCGCTGATTCTCGAAACGAACCGAACCGAACGGGACCGAACGATTTATGAATGAGCGGCGCGCAGCGTGAGACAAACATTCATTATTCCCATACAACCATACAACAATCGTTCAATCTCGACGAGAACGTGAACGAAATTTCAAAAGCAAAACCGAGGAAAATACGATAAACAAGAAACACACACACGAAACGATAGCGCAGCGTAAAAGTTTATTAAGAAAGAAAACGTTTGTTATTGCTGCAACAACAACAACAACAACAGCAACAAAAACAACTGCGAGCACTTTGGTATAAACAAAAAGAAAAAAAAAAACGAGCGCGGAAATTGCAGTTGCAAACAAAACAAACGCTTCGATTGTCAAGAAATTCCCTTAATTTTTTTGCATTTCGCACACCTCCCCCCACCCCCACAACATAAAAGAAAAAACCAGGAAAAAATTACAGAAGAAAATATAAAGCTAAATAGTGCGTAAAAATCGGTTTTCTGATCGCTTCGCTTCCAGTTGCGTTGCGTTGCGTGCGAGTGTGTGTGAGAGTGAGTGTGTGTGTGAGAGTGCGTGTGTGTGCGTATGTGTGTGCGGGAGAGCGCGTCGCGTGTGTTTTTGTTTTAGATTACTAAAATTCTCGCATAAGCTGCAAACGAATGAAAAAAGAAAAAGGAAAGAAAAAAAAACATGTTGAAATAGAAATTGAAATCGAAATTGAAATGTTGAAAACCACAACAAAGTCAAATATGCGTCAAGTGAAAAGTGTGCTTTTTTTAAAAAACGCTTTGGAAATTGCACAAATATTTTAAATTAGTGAAAAGCAAGTCAAAATTGTCGATTGGTGTATAAATAAGAAATAAGAATTGTTTTGTGCGTATTTTTTTAAACTGAGTTTCTAGTTTCTCTCGTCTCGCCCTGCTACAACCCGTCTTGCTCTAGCACCATAGAGAGGCCGCCGAGCAGCTGCAAGCGCGTCAAAAAGGTACGTGTAAGTTTGGCAGAAGAAGAAGAAGAATATGGTGAAGAGGCATAGGTAGAAGAGGAGAAGAGAAGGAGAGGGAGGGGAAGAGTTCGACCCCATGCTGCTTATCAACGGCAGCGGGTAAACATAGGCTTATCTATGTCTCTCTCTCTCTCCCTTCCTCTCCTCCTCTCTCCCTTTCTCTTTGTGCGTGTGCAGTAACAACAACAACAACATACAACGTCTGCAAATGGCAAAGTTAATGCGAGTTGTTTCCTAGAACGCAACGTCAGCTTTTTTTTTTTTGTGGCTTAAGCGTTAGAAAACATTTACTTGGAGATTTGTTGCTGGATTAATGTGTGTGTTTGCCGCTCACTTTCACTTCAAAGCTAAACAAATTAACGAAAAAATTAATAAAAAAAAAAATAAAATAAGTTAAACAAGCAGAAGAGTGCACGACTAATTTGCTAATAGAAATGAATTAGGAAAGCTCGAGTCGAGAGCGCTGAACTAGCAGACATGGAAGTTGTTGCTTTTATTGCTTTCGAAAATCGATTTGTATCGATATTTGGGAAGCGTATGCAGTTGTCGATGAAGTGTTATAAATTTGATTTGTGTATGGTATATTTTGAACCTTAGTGTTTGCGAAATAACTACCAGTTAAGACCGACTTTCAATGTCTTACAATATATATATATGTGCAACAGTATGTAACAGTCAGAAGGACTCATCTTCGAATTTTATATATATTTTCTAAAATTACTTTGTTCAGATATACATAGCTATAGCGACTCAACTTTTGATGCAGTTGAAGAATATATATACATATGTTAAAAGATCGGAGATGCTTCTTTCTAATTGTCACAAGCTTTTGCATAAGTTCATTACATCCTTTCCACACATACACAATGGAGGACGAGATATCTAATATAATATTAACGAATTTTAATTGACGTGTAAATAAATAAATATATATATATATATATTTTATCGAGGATGAGTCATCGACCAAAAAAGGAATGCTAACGATATTTCAGCTGTAGAATATATCCTCCACATTCCCATAGACAGTAAATATTCTCTACGGAGAATTCTCAATCATGATTAAATATCTCAATGGATACTTTTCAATGGAGAATAAATATTTCGCATGGATATGCCTCAATTCTCAGTAATTATTCTCTATGAATAATTCAATGTGTAGGATTCTTTTTCTGCCTGTGACAAATAAACGGCACAGCTGAGTTACACCCATTGTAAGCATTATGCCAGGGTATATTTAAAACAGAAAACAGTCGCTACTCGAACCGGCATATGCCACACAAGCACCAAACACACACACACACACACACACACATAGAGAGCTATCACTATCACTATCGCAATTGGCCTGTGCCTGGCCTGGGTCTCTGTCTCCGTTTTCGTCTGGGTCTTGGACTGGGTTTGGGTTTGGGTTTTGGGCTATTTTGGTTTGTGTCTCCTTGTTTAGTCTGCTAGTCTGTTAGTCTGCTTGTCGGATAGTCAGATAGTCAGATAGTCATATAGTCGGCTGACTTTATCTTGTCAGCTCGTTGAGTGCTGGCTGCTTGAGCGACTCTGAGAACTGATATGGCGATAACCTATATTATGTATGTATACACGACGCATGTGCTAACAGTTAGTTAGTCGCATGCATTATCTGCTTCTCTCTACCAGTTTCATCACAGACAGCGATCCAAATCGTTTCATACTTGAGGCGACAACAACAGAAACAATAACAATAGCTTCAGCCGACTTTATCTCGCTGCGTTTCCGTCGATTTATATATTTTTTCTCCGATTGTCAGCGTTTTTCAGAGTCAGATCATGCAACGTAAATCGTTATAAGTCGTAAACACTTCTTCCTGATCGCTTAAGTGCTCGAACATATTGTTGAGGAATATAGTTCAGTTTCTGAGGTTTTTTTTTTTGCTCGGACTTGTTTATTTTTTTAGACGGCACTGATGGCAATTTTCAGATGTTTTCTTAATGAAATAAACAACAATGCATTAATGAGCTCTGCACTTCTCTGATTTGCATCGAAATATTTCCGGTCTCTCTTTCGATGCATGCGTCATCCATCATCCCCTTGCGTGCAACGCATAAGGAGGGAGTTCAACGCGATTTCGATTTCGATTTCTTAGTTATGTAGAACACAATTATATGAAGTTGGCACTTTTTTATAACACACAAAACACACACACACACCACCATCATAATCATAATCGTATATGTACAAACTGGTTTTCTGCCTTTTTGTATATAAATATATGCATATATATAAACCTATAAAGAAACACTTGTGCGTGCGAGTTGTTTAGTTTAACGGCAAACTCGAGTAAATAAAACTGAAACAATATGGGCTTGTGCCCACATATATATATATATATATATATATATATATATAGATATATTTATATTATTAATAACTGTTTGCCCGGTTTTTCGGTTAACTGCTGCCACACAGAGCTGATATTGCACTCGTCGCACAAGCTAAAGCAAACAGAATCCTTGTCTATAATTTTAAATCGATGCCAGATGTTCTCTGTCTCAAATCACGTTTATAACTCCCACCTCCCCACATTTATGGCAGGTTCATCAATTTATTTGTGGTGATAAATGTCGTACAGGAATTTACATAAATATACATACATATATATATATATAAATATATATATGTATAGCTAACGAACAAGTTTAGTTGACAAAATGATTTGTATGCCGATGGTGTTGTCGCTGTCGCTGCTGCTGTCGTCATTAACGGGAGGCGACACTGAGCGCCACCCTGAACTTACAACCTAAACAAACAGCATGATGACACATACACATTCAAACACACACACACACTGCTGGTTGGATGCAACAATATTCTATCCAAAAACAGCAAACTAATTCCAAAAAATGTTAAGTATAATTTATTTTTAACTGAGGTCATCAGCGACGTCGTCGTCGACGATTACAACAACGCCTTTAGTCAACAATTGCCTCTCTTCTCCGCTCTCTACCGCACTTCTCTCCGCTCTAATCTACTCCGTTGACTCGTAGATTCTTGTTGTTCTTATTTCAAGTTAATGTGCTCGTGTTGGGTTGTGATACCCTGTAACCACTCCAACTTGACAAAATAAGTATCGTTATGTTTTGCATCCTAAACGATCGCAGCGCCGAAGAAATTTTGACAGATGATAAAATTGTGTGGACGAGTTCAGATGTTGGCTAAAAACAGCCAAAAAATGTTATAAATAAAAATGCAAAATTCAAGTTATAAATTAAATTATATAAAGTTAATGGGGGAAATAGAAAATAAATATGTTAGTACTGAGAAAGAGTTCCTTCGGCAATTCGAGAAATAAGGCAAGCAAATCTTGTATGTATGCGAGGTAATTGCTAGTCTGGCATTATTGTTTAGATCACTCTTACTTGCTGCTATTGTGGCCGTTTTTCAGCTGTTGAACTCGAACTCTCACCAAATTATGCCACACAACGTTGCCCGCCTGCCTGCCTGCCTGCCCTCAAGCAGAGTAGAGCAGAGTGTAGGCCCCAGTCCCAGACCCAGTGCTATAGCTATAGCTTTTTCTTAGTGATATTGCTAGTGCTGATGCTAGTGCTGATGCTAGTGCTGATGCTGATGGTGATGCTGATGCTGATGCTGATGCTATTGCCCAGTGGCGTTGTGGGGCCTCGGTCGGGGCCAACAAACATTATTTGAAATATTTATGCTTGACTTTTGCGCCTCAATGACTTTTGAATTGCCTTGCCTTTGGCTGCCAGTATTAACACACAAACACACACATACATCGTTCTTATGCGTTCTGTGTACATGTGTATTTTTGTTTTCGTATATTTTTTTATGCTCCAGGGCCTAAGCAAACTCACATATGTTGCCTCAAATTGCAAGCAGATGCATTTTGAGCGACGAGATTTTCTCTCGCGTGTGGAAACATTGTCAACATCTGCTTGGGAAAATTTCAAGTTGTGGTATTAGATTATATACACATATTTTTTAATAAAAATTAAATTTTAGAATTAAATGACAATTATTTAAGAAAAAAACAATAATTTGAAATTTAACATTAATTGGGAAAAAAAATATATATATATAACAATAACAAATAATAATAATATTTCTCGCTGGTCAAGGTTTCTTTTTTATTATTATTTTACATACTCCGATATATTTCGTATTCGGCAAGCGAAAAACATATTCAAATTATAAAAATAAAGCAATAAACTATAAAACAATTATAATAAAAAAAATAAAAAATTTGAATGGTTCCGAAATATGACTTCCATTAATCCAATTTATATGCTAATAAGAATCATCAGTGTATTTTTAACATTTTGCTCAACATTCGTAGTTATTAGTCAAGCATTTTGAAGAGCTTCAATATTTGCTGAGCTCTTCTACAATTTGAGTCGCTGATTTACGTAAAAACGAGAAGCAAACAAGAAATGCTAAAAAAGTAATTAACATGTGAAAATGATGCAACAGCTAGTTTTTAAAGATGATTGTTGATGTTGATGGGGAATTCACGGCGGGATCTGTAGCCGCCGTAAAAGGCGAAACCAATCAACTGGACAACGCACACATTAAACACACATTAGACTGCATTTAATTTGTCAATATTAGCTCGTCAGCGCGACCCTCTTTGAGGGCTGAATGAATGGCTGGGAGAGAAATGCTTCGATCGGTTCTCAGGCCGCGCACTCTTCTTTTCTTTCGGATATTGGAAAGTGAGGCAAGTAACAGCAATAACTCTGCACGACACACGACAGGCAGACAGACAGACAGACAGACATACAGAGAGACTGACAGACAGACTGATGGACAGACAGACAGCTAGACAACCACACACAGCATGTCTGGGCCATTGAAATGGCTGGCTAAATGTCTGGGTCTCTATGTTGACCTTTTCACAGCTGGAATCATCATCTTTCACATCACTGTAGAGTTCTGCTTTTGCTCTAAGACTGGTTGGCGGTTGGTCTTACCTCCCCCAACCCCTG